TGCAAGCTTGAACAAGTTGCTTAGGCTCTCTGTGCCTCAGTCCTCCTGTCTGTAAAATGACAATAAACAGAGTACGAGGGTAAATTGAGAAAAGACATCCAAAGTGCATGGAACAGTACTTGGCACAGAGCTTGCACCCAGCAGACTTTAGCCTCCGTCATTGGGCAAGGTGGTAATTTTGTCCTGGATAAGAACCGTCTTCAGGTGATGGGCTTAATAAGAATGAATCGCCCCATGGACTAGGTCAGGTAGTACCTCTGCGTAGTGCCCAGGGAACACTCGTTCCTGGTGCCATGGCTTTTTAAGCAATACCTGGCTACCTGAAGTGAGTGGGTGCAGTTTCTTTAGGCAGAGAGGAAGTGTGGGGCACAGAGCCACCAGCACATTCCTGGCCAGGTCATAACTGAGGGACTCTGGCTGAGCCCACCTCTGTGTCCCAGGTGTACTACTTAGCTACATGGATGTCCTTTTAGGCTGTTTTCAGAGCTGTTACTTCTTTTCATGACACTATCCAAACGCCATCAAGGGGGTTAGACCCCTTAACTCTTATCCGCAGGAATTTAAGGTTCACTTACGAGCATACCAGCTACATCCTCTGTGGGAGCCAGTGCAAAATGAAGACGTGGGGCTCCTTGATAAAAATTACTGAGATTTCAAGGAAGCAACAGCAGAGATTAAACCCTGTGTGTCTGCAGGTCTCAGGCCCACGAAGCCCGCCCTCCTAACAGGACAGCGTGCATGCCACTTGCTGGTGCTCCACTGCCACAGCTCTCAGGGCATGCAAACTAACTAATATCTATATTTTAAAGGTGTTTTCTCATTACAGCCTTATGCTCACCAAAAAAAGGCATTTTCCCATTTTTCAGGTGACGAAACTGAGGCTCCGAGGGCCTCACACGTAACAGAACCGAGTTTCCAGGCCAGCTCTGCTGGATGCCAGCCCCTGGCTTTCCACCCAGCCCCATCCAGCCACCACTTCTGTGTCTCCTTGTGTCTCCCAGCTACCTGGGAAGGCCCAGCCCCATGGCATCTGCGTGCCCAGCCCGTGTGGGTGCCCAGGACTGCTGAGTAACAGAGCATGTGCTTGCTGAAGGAGTGGGATTCACTGCAGCGGGAATCCGTACCTCTGTTTGGGTCAGTCTCTGCCCTATCGGTGTCCACAGGGGCCCTGATTGGGGTGGAGAATCCCCTGCAGAGGCCCATGTGCAGGCAGGGGTGGCTGTCTGGGCCACAGTGGGGTACAGTTCACCACAGGGCACTGATCTTTCCATTTCCAGCCTGGTCCTCCTGCCTCAGGACCTTTGCACTGGTGGTACACTCTTCTAGGAAGGTCACTCCTCATTGCTGCCCTGAATTTTATTTTATTAACTCCAACTGAGCCTTCAGCTCATGGTCACATCCCCAGGGTCCCTTCCCTGACCCTGAAGTCTAGATCAGGGTCTTGCCATGACTTTCTGAAGTCCTGCACTTACTCTCTGTAGCATGTGACACTAGTTACATTCTCCTGTGTCTCTGTCCCTATGAATGGCTGCCTCACCCACTGGGCTCCCAGCTCCCCGAGGTCAGGAACGTTCTCTTCTTCACACAGGACCTGCCACATGGGGCGTAACTCGGGGGAGCAGGAACTCTGAATGGGGGGGTAGAATGTGGGCGGGAGGGTCTGCCTCTCATCTCAATTCCCTGCAACACAGGGTCATAAGACAAGAAGTTAAATTCTTTTTTTGGGCCACAGTGACTTTGACAATCCTCCTTCCTAGGCCAGGAGAGGGGAGTGTGTGCCCTGCCAGGGCTCCTCATTTTCTTACCTGGTGGAGGAGGGGTGAGTGACCCCCATCCTATCTTGCCAAGGGGCTGGCATGGCCCCTGTTTGCTCAGCCCCTCTGCCCTGTTGGGTGTGTATGCTCTGTCTTCCAGACCGAGATCTAGCGGGGAAGGGCCTGGGCTTGTCACCTGCCCCTGGACGTGGTTGTGCCCTACTTCCCACATCCTGACTCCCAGGGGCGTTTCCTCGCTGAGCCTTGTGGGGCCTGACGACTGCGGGGGGCAGATGTCTGACCCCCATCTTAGTATTGAAATGGCGTTCGCCTCTGCCTGCGTTCTCTCCCCTCCCTCCAGACCTGCCCTCCCGCAGCGGCGGGCGTTTGGGCGCCGCCTTTGCTGGGTTCAAGGCAGCCATCTTTAGTGCCGGGGGAGGGTGTCACCTGAGAAGGCTCATCACAGGCATGGGGACCCCACAACCTGAAGTTCCAATAACATCACTTACCCCCTCATGTTGAATAAATATCTGGGCCGGGGGCCGCTGGAGGTCTGAAATGAGCCTTCCCGCGAACAGGGTTGTGGCGGTTTGCTCTGGTTGCCGTAACAAAGTACCGCAGGCCGGTGGCTTATACCACACAAATTTATTGTCTCACATTCTGGAGGCCAGAAGTCCAAGATCAAGGTGTCAACAGGGCTGGTTCCTTCCGAAACCTTTCTCCCTGGCTTGCAGAGGGCTGCCTTCTCCCCGTGCTTTCTCGTGGTCTTCCCGCTGTGCGTATCTCTGTCCTAATCTCCTTAGAAGAACACCAGTGACATTAGATTAGGATCAACCTTAATGACCTTATTTTAATTTGATTACCTCTTTAAAGACCTCGTCTCCAAATACAGTCCCATTCTGAGGTACTAGGGGTTAGAACTTCAATGTGTGGATTTTGGGGAGACACAATTCCTCCCACACAGCGAGGGTCTTTGCGCTTCAGTGGCAGAAACAGATGCAGAAAAGAGAATATGGGGCAAGATGAAGGCAGAGAGGTGTGTGATAGAGAAAAGAAGAGGGTTCATTTTGGGGAACTAGTTCAGTCCACTCCCTCTCCCGGGAGCCGCCGATCCGGCCTGAGCTGCAGAAGCGGAAGGGTTACTAGCTCGCCTCCAGCATGGAATGTGGCCTCCCGTGGGGACTGAGCACTTGGCACGTTCTCTTGGTTGCAGTCACTATAAATAATCCGTCCTTCTTGCAGCGTTAATAGGAGGAGCTTGGGGCGTGGGGGCCCGGCTGCACGCTCATCCCACCCATCTTGCTTCGATTTCCTGCCTTCCCCGGCTCTCCGGACTCCACTGGGAGCTCTTGGGGCGAGGCGGGGCTGGACTTCGATTCTGGAAGCCAGCTGCCGCGTCTGTCTATGCTGCTCTCTCCCCCTGCCCAGCCCCGGCAGCTGTTGGAGCTGGGTCAGCCTGTCCCCAGCTGCCACATTCCTCACCAGGGAGCTCCTGCCATGGGGCTGTGGGGACACGGGGCCTTGGCAGTCAGGAGCAAACGCTGCCGAACTAATTAAATATGGCTTTCGGGCAAGGTGCCCGCCAGGTGGGCAAGCTGCAGGGGCCATGGTGGGGCCAATTCCTCTTCTCTTGCCCTGGGCGAGTGACTTCTGATGACAGTGGGATTGTTACTAAAAAACATATCCCTCTCTCGGCTCCTGTGAATCTGTAATTCCCAAGTGTCTCCCGGGGCTGGCTTGGTCCCTCCTTGCTGGAGACACGCGAGATCTCATACCTGTCCACGAGAAGCTGAAAGTCCGGTCGAGCATTAACCTTGTTCTGAGTTTACTTCCATACGTGTCAGAGGTGTCTGTGCCTGAACCCTGGGGACCCGTGAATGTTACCTGATATGCGCAAAGGCACCATATGGGCGTGATTAAGTTAAAGCTCTTGGGTTATCTTCAAGTGTCCTGTGGGCTAGTGCCTATCTCTTGAGAGATGAGAAAGAAAATTAAAGAAAATTGACTCTCAAATTGTCTCTCTCGAGATGTTCAGTTTATTAAATCAACAGCAGAAACCATACAAGAGGATGACCCAGTGCCTGGATTTTCACAAGGAGGGCTATTCCCCGCCGGGCTGCTCGTGTGCTGACCCACAGCCTCCGTGTGGGATGTCTGGGTCTGTCCCGACCTCTGTCTTCCTTGCCTACCTGCAGCACTGACGGGGGTCAAAGCTTTTGGTGACCTCGACGTCTGGGGCCCAAGCCCTTTTATGTGTCTAGACGGTGACATTTAGGGGTTGAAAGATGTGGTTTGGGATGAACTGGGGACACTTGCTTGTGCAAGGGGGTGGGCAGCGAATGGCTTCCTGGCCTTGTGCACCGGTCAGTGCAGGGTGCGGGACCTGGCGAGAAGGCAGCCCTGACTGAACAGAAAGAGCTCCCCACATCCTGTGCAGTGTCTTTGCTTGGTCTCTGCGTGCCAGGAGAAGGCTCTGCCCGTGAGCGCCAAGGGTCGGCCCGGCCACAGTGCACAGTCCAGGGTGTGCCATGAACAGTGGCTCCTGGGAAAAGACAGCAGCGCCCGGCCCCTCCGAGGTCTGCTGGTTGGGATGGCTGGGTGGGGTTGGGGTGGCTCCGTCAAAGGTCAGCTCAGGGGCAGAACAGCGGCTGGGAGTGGGCAGCCCTTGGGCTGGTTCTGAGAAACCAAAGACAGGAAGGTAGTGACTGGGCCTGGAAATCCAGAGCATGTTTTGGGGTGATGGGAGGGGCTCTCATCCCTCCCCGTTCCTGGGGCCTGATCGTTCTTTATTCTTGCACCTCAACTCTGAGACCATGGACCCTGAGTCAAAGATGAAACTGAGCAGCTCTTGTCATTCCAGCTCACTGGCGCTATTTAGCACCCCAGCTGATGGGCACTAACTATCTGCCCTGGTTACGGTTGAGACAGCCGGGACAGGGCAAGGGGCACAGAAGGGCAGGCCCAGCTTCGTGGTGGACAGGCCGTCACGGGGGCAGCCCTGCCAGCCCGGCCCCAGCAGCTCGACATCAGGCTGGTGAGAAAACTGATCCAAGCCTGCTTGGGGAGGTGGCCGGGGATGGGGGGCCGGGGATGGGCTGGAAATTTTCAAGAGATGACAAAAATCCAAATCTGTATGTGAAGTCTTCTGAATTTTAAATGTTAGCAACTGATTACAAAATTCTGCAGAATACTTCTGGGCCAGGCAGTTAGTGTTTGATATCCTGCGTGGATGGGATGGACCCATCGATGGGAGAGCGGGAGCCCATGAAGGTTCGCCCCTCCTCTGGCCCTCAGGAGGGTGAAGCGCGGGCGTGGAGGGGCACGAGCTTGGAGGGGCGCAGGGGCTGCTTGCCTCTCCGGCCCTGCAGAGTGCAGGACACCCACGGCCTTCGGCATCTCCCTGGCTCCTCGACAGTGGACTGTCCACATGGGGACACAAGGCCGTCCTCATCTTCTCCTTTCTCTTTTTTCTCTGCAGAGGTCTGTGGGGCTCTCAACGTCACGGTGTCCCCGGGGCCTGTGGTTGACTACCTGGAGGGGGAAAATGCCACTCTCCTCTGCCACGTCTCCCAGAAGAGGCGGAAGGACAGCCTGCTGGCCGTGCGCTGGTTCTTCGCGCGCTCTGAATCCCAGGAGGTCTTGATGGTTAAGATGACCAAGCTCAGGGTGGTGCAGTACTACGGGAACTTCAGCCGCAGTGCCAGTCGGCAGAGGCTGCACCTGCTCGAGGAGCGGCGGGGGGCGCTCTACAGGCTCTCCGTCTTGACCCTCCGGCCAGCGGATCAAGGGCGTTATGTCTGCAAAGTCCAGGAAATCAGCAAGCACAGGAATAAGTGGACGGCTTGGTCCAACGGCTCCTCGGCGACGGAAATGAGAGGTGAGGGTGCGTCCGTCTCCCTAGGGAGAAGCGTGGGGGCAGGTCAGTGGCCCTCCCTCCTGTCACCATGCAGGGGCGCCCGGGTTGGGTCTGTTGGGCTAGAACCCACCTTGTCGGCCTTCGTGGGCCACAGCCAGAGGAGGCAAACCTGGGGGTGGGCTAGGTCTTCACGTGGACACGGGCCGAGGTGAGGTGCAGACATGGAAGTGAGCACAGTCAGGACCCAGTGCCTGCCCGGGCCACGCGGCCTGCCCTGTGGGCAAAACCCATGCCTGTCTACAGGCTGGACTGGGGGTGTGCTGTCACAGATGCGCAAAGCTGGACCCTGGTCAAAGGGGTCAGGGCAGGTGCTGTTCAGTAGTGACTGCTGCCGTAGGGGGGAGCGACCAGCATGGACTGGACTCGGCGCTGATCCGTGCAGAGGCGACTGGGCCTTTCCAAAGGCGCGTGAGGGGGCGGGGAGAGTCAGGGAAGTGTAAACATCACAAAAAGCAGTGTGCAGGGGCGTTTGGTCTGCGTGGACCCCTCTGGGTTTGCTAACGTGCCTGTGGAAGTTCGGCCCCCACTTCCCACAGAGCCCAGAGATGGGAGCTCCGTCTCAGGTGTCGGCTGGAGCAGACGGCGCGAGCTTCTGCCCGCAGGCGCTTCGGGGAGAGCAGGGTCGTTCTAGCCACACGGCCCTGGGCTGTTAGAAACTGGGTTGGCGTTCGTCCAGGTCTTCACAGGGCAAGGCTGAGGCCTCCTTGAGAAGGGGCTCCGAGGAGGCTGGTGGAGTTTGGTCCAGGAGAATCCTCGTCAGTGACCAGCCCCCAGCTCAGGTCTGTGCAGCCGCGCTCGCGGTGGCGGGGGTGCCGGGCACCAGGGGAGGGGGCACACGCTGGGAGGTCCTCGTGTGAATCCTCAGGCCTCAGAGCAGGACGGGCTGGTGGCTCTGATCCATCGCCCGGTGGAACTCATCCACGCTCAGGCAACGGCTTGCAGAGAAACGCATCAGGAAGTGGGCAAAGCCGCAGAGGTGGCCCTCCCTCCCTGCAGGTAGACGGGAAGTGCTGCGGGCCGTTTCTGGAACATCTTCGCGACCAAGTGCCATATTTGAGGGTTAGTGTTTTTTATCACCAGTGTTCTATTCAAGAAGACACCTCTTGCGATTTTATTAAAACTTTCTATTGTCCACTGAAATTATATCTTTGATTGTTTTGAAATTAAATTTAGTTTGGCATAAGATCAAGGGACTATGAAGTAAAGCTGATAGACCCCAATACGAAAAAGAATCTCTAATTTTGTTGTGCACATGTAATATAATATTAAATGCCTTAGTGATGTTTTGATAGCATTTTTTATGGGCTAAAACTCAGTTGTGAAAGGTATCTTTAATGTCCTATATGAATAAGGGACATGCGTGAAGTAATTTATAAAGATGTTCATTAAAGCAGTCCAGCTTGCCTTTGGAGTTGGCTTGTTGTAATGTTCTTATGCAAAGAATGATGCATTAACTAAAATACTTTTTCTCCTGTAGCAAATTAATTCAAGAAAACCAATTACTGTTAGTATAAATATATATTTTGGCACCGAAAACAAAAAATACACCAGGTGACCGGGGCTGGGGAGAGAATCCACTTGGCTCTGAAGCACAAGATCTCATATAAGTTTTTCCCTTTGTCTTTATATCACGGTGTATCCTGGAGTCACACGCTAAAACTCTTGGCAGTGACGACGTTCTGCCCAACAGAACATGTAAAAATGTACCTTCAAGTAAGCGCAATCATCTAGTTCACCGTTTAGTGTGAATCTACTTTGAGAGAGTGAAGCTGGGTTCCTTCCGGAACATTTATTTGGAGCTTGCTCTGAAAACCTGAGGTGGTTTTAAGACTCCACTGGGAATGAGCGTGTCTTTGCCCTCTTCTGCTTCCTCCCTGCCCTGCGCCTCCCCTCGTCCCCCGTTCCTGCACTCACTGTCTCTTTTCACCTTCCTCTTTCCTCTCCCTGTCTCTCTGTCTCCCCGTGTGTCTCTCCGTCTCTGTCTCTCTCCCACTCTCTCCTGGTCCTCCCGACCTCTTGCCTGGCAGTGGTTCCGACCTCTCTGCAGATTGCCTCCCTCACCACTTTACTCTGCCCCAGCCTCTGGGCAGGGCTGTGGTTCACAGATGGGAAGATTCAAAACCTTAGGAAGCAATGACCTTACCTTCTAGAATGTTCCACTTACACTTCCAGGGAACTGTTCCAAGGCGTAAAAGAAAGATAACCCCAAGCAAATGGCCTGAAACCAGACTGTCTTGTTTAGGTTGGAGTGTGTGGGCCCCAGGCCAGGAAGTGTGTGAGCCTTGGCCGCCTGTCCTTCCCAGGCAGGCACAGGCCAGGCCTGCTGTTCCAGCCCTACCAGATGGGCACCTTTCCTGGGGTCCAGGGGCCTTGTTTTCCTTAGTCTCCACCTCATGTTAATAGTTGTTATATGGAAAACAAAAGCAAAACCAACAACAGTGAGAAGTTCTACAGGTAGATCCGTTTGGGTTGGCATGTGGCATATTAAACAGGATCTCTCACAGATTATTTTTCTTTTTTTTTTTTTTTTTTTTTTTTTTTTTGAGACAGAGCCTCTCTCTATCACCCAGGCTAGAGTGCAGTGGTGTCATCATAGCTCACAGCAACCTCAAACTCCTGGGCTCAAGTGATCCTCCTGCCTCAGCCTCCCAAGTAGCTGGGACTATAGGTGTGGCTACTACACCCAGCTAATTTTTTTCTAGAGATGGGGTCTCACTCTTGCTGAGGCTGGTCTTGAACTCCTGAGCTCAAGTGATCATCCCATCTCGGCCTCCCAGAGTGCTAGGATTACATGTGTGAAGCCTGCTTTCTGCAGGTGTCTCGAGTCATCCATGGGAGAGGGGAGCTTTCATAGGGATTTCCTTTCTAGCTCTACCCCCACCCTTGGCCCCTCACCACGGACTTCATCACGGTCTCCTTCCTGCAATGTTCTGAACATGAGATAAAATTGCTTGTCTTCCACTGCAGACTCCTGCAAAGAAAGGCTCGTGCCTGGTCTCCTCTCATCTCCCTGTTGGGCACACCTTGCTCAGCAGACGGAGGGTGGCCCTACTGACGTGTGCGTGGGTGGCTTCTATCATTTGTCCTGATTTCCATATGTTGGCTGTTTTCTATTGCAAAAGTAACATAGTTCAGTTATAGAAAACATGGACAAATACTGACAGGCTTTAAAGAAGAAAATAAAAATGACATACCGTATCTCCATTTAGGCACAGCTTAACATTTCAGTGCAAATCATTTTATGCAAATAAAATTTTAAACCTAATTTCAGTCTTACCGTAAGTACTGTTCTGTGACTGGCTTTCCTGACATACTAAATAGTGTGTGCATATCCCCTTGTTTTTAAAAATGCTTCCATACCATAATGCTAGTGACGGAATAGGATTGCGTGGTGTGGATGGACAACGATTTAGCTTCCTAATTATTGTTACTGGGCATTTACGCTGCTCTAAATCCTTGTCAGTGAATGTCCCTGTCCTTAGCACAAGTCCTGGAAATAAGATTGCTGGGTCCAAGGGTCTACCCAATTTAAAGACAGCTGCGATTTCAAGAAGTGAATTGACTTCTAAAATAGTTAATAAATTTGTATTCCCACCACCACGGAAAATGCCTCTTCCTCATGGATTTTTTTACATAATTGTGATGGTTAATTTTACGTGTCTACCTTGACTGAGCTAAGGCATGCCCAGATAGCTGAGAAAACATGATTTCTGGTTGTGTTGATTCTATTTCTCTGGAGAAACCTGAATAATATAATCATACATCCTTTTGGAGGATAATGATGATAATGATGATGATGAATGCTTACAACAGTGCCTGGAACATAATCGCCCCACAATAAACACTTGATGAACGCATAAAATGCTCTTTCTTAGGTGGCTTTCGTAGGCATGACTTGGTGGCTGCAGTCACCTCTCTGGGAGACCTCACTTCTCTCCCGTGACGATTCTAGTTGTCCATCCTGTGTGGGGACGCACGTTCATCCTTCTTCCATCATGCCTTCCGCGAGTACGCCAGCCCAGCACACCGCGACATCCCGTAGCTTCTGGTTTATGTATTATTGACACGACATTGTATAGTCACGCCACTGTTTCTGTAAGCTGCTGTGGCACAGGGTTGATGTCAAAAAATATAAATAAAAGAATAAAATGATGCAAAAACTAAAATGTGAAAGTCTCTCTCCCCCACCCAGTTCCACTCCCCACAGATGTAATCATTATCAGTGATTTGTCCCTCTCCTGTTGACACTCATGCACACCCACACACGTGTGTTTTAACAGTAGGGCAAGTGTTGCTTTGTAAGTGTTGATGATAATATATGTATATTTTTGTAACTGATATTATAGAGTAAGAGAATACCAAACTGCAATCCAATCATTCACACAGTGATAGACACTTAGGAAACTTCCAGTTTTTCACTAACACAAACAGTGCTTCAGTGAAATCCTTGTACGTATTTCCAAGTATTTCTGTTGGTTAGATTCTTGGAAAGGGAATTGCTGGGCCTAAGGCTATGCATATTTAAATTTTTAATAGACAATGCCAAAATGCTATTGCTGAAAAGACTTTACGAATGTATACTCTGACCATCATTGCCTGACAGTGTCTATTTCCCTGAAACCTCCTTAACAATCGATATCATTAATCTTTTCCATTATTTATCATTATGATGAGAAAATATTTCATTGTTGTTTTCATTTCGATTATTATATTCAATACAATACAATGCAATTTAATTTCTGTTGTATTCAATTATTAGTGAGGTTGAGCATCTCCTTATATATTTATTGACTGTTTAAAAAATTTCTTCTGTGAATTGTCTGTCCAGAACCATAACTGTCCATAATTGGGTTGTTGTCTTTTTCATACAGTAATTCTTTAGCTGTTAGATATGGTGCGAAAATTTCTTCCTATTGTCATTTGTCTTTCCATTTTTAATGCTTTCTTTTATTATATAGATG